AGAATTCAGCACTGCAATAGCTGGGGACAGCTTGACTTCCACGTTGTTTTCTTTTGTTGCTTTCAGGACACGTTGAAATAAGAATACCTGGCTCCTGTCTGTACACACCTTTCAGCCATAAGCATTAAAATGTTTTGTAGACAGAGGCTTGAATTAATCTAGTCTGAAATGTTGAGAACTACGGGGTTTTTAAGATCTTGCAGTGACAATAGCTGCTGCTGACTTCAAGTTTCTGTTATGTTGCCTCTCTATCTCTCCTTCCTGCTCCTGATGTATGTCTACATTTGACCGTGTCAAGTGTTGACCCCAGAAGTCCCCACAGGAGTCCATTCGTGTGTGCACCAGGGTTACTCTCGTGTTCAGACTGCTGAGGGCCCAGCTCCTTGAGTAGGTTGCTTTTAGGTAGGCTGAGGGGTAGTTTAATTGCACCTTGACTACTACTTGTAAATACAGAGTAGATAATTGTTCTTTCATGGAGCAGTAAGTTGCTCCAGAGAGCTCTCTGTTGCTCTCTATTGCTTCAGTGAAGTGAAGTGGCTTCACTTTCCAGAAAGTAGCAAACATGGTCCAAACTAATTATCTGAAATTTGCTCCCATAGCCTGACCCAGTTCATCTTAAACTGCACAGCCTTGACTAGCACCTCAGTACTTACGCATTCACTACATGACTGGATACGTCAACTAGGTCACTTGAACTAGGTACTAGTGCAAAAATGAAAGGCAATGGAGAAAAGTGTCAGAACAGCAAAACAAGACAATTCAAGTAAGAATGTATCTTTCAAGTAGGAATCAAGTAATTTGCTCAACAAATCAGAACTTTCAAGTAAGTTCTACAGTTTGAACATAGGATATCTCCAAGTTGGTTTAACAAAGTAACTTCTATTAACTTTAAAAGTACAACACAAATAATTAACATTTACTCATGCCTATTTTCAGAGTTTTTTCAGATAAACTATTAGAATGGAGTTCTGAATATCATAATCTCATTTACAAGTCAATAAAAATGTTTGTTCCTACAGATATAACTTACTTGAAAATACAGTTCTGCTACTGGCAGACTTGCAGAATCATGAACTGAAGAACTACTATGATTTAGTTGTTGAGAAACTTCTAGCTGAAGAAGGCTGGATGAATATGAAATGTGAATATTTCTACAGTTTGTGTATATCTGCATACTAAATCCAGCACACCATTTTTATGTGCCTGCAAATTGCTAAAGACAAAAATAAGCATCTTCATTAATTCGGGATTCTAGCGGGCGACTCTTAAGCCATTTTACAAATGCAAAGCAGTAGTTTTTCCATTGTTGCCATCTCTTATGGCTGAATTTTGAATTATAAATAAGAGCTTGCATGTACTGTCACAATAGAAATATTAATGCTTAAAATATCTCTGTGTAATTTCTTTCTGAATGCTACCTATTTTCTGAAATTAAACTACTTTTCAGTTTATTTTTTAAATAAGGGCAATTCCATGGCTCTTCTAGGTCAGAAAGCTCTGGGAGCTGTTCGTTTTGAGCTCTTGCAGACTCTGCTTGCTTTTTACAACTGTCTGCTAACTAAGCTTTCCAGTTCCCCTGCGGGGTTGGGTTCATTTGCTGAAATGCAATTCTATGCATAGGGAAACTGAGGCTCTGAATTCAATAGATATTTACCCCCTACCTAGAAGGAATACTGAAATAAGTGTTTCTATACATAATTTAATGGTTTTCCAAAGGAAATGTTTGCCAGATAGCCTGGAATACAGTATTTTATCTTGTCCAGTCGTGTATTCTTCTTCTTGTTAGTGCAAAGCACCCTTAAAGATGGATACATTGGACAGTCCTAAAAAATGCCTGCAAGTTAGTAGCCTGAATTCCTTACTTTCCTGATCATGATATAGACAGTGGAAAGGCTGTGGTCAGAAACCTCTGTGCCTGGAGGAAAACTGTAATTTATCACAGATGTCAGCAGTTTATAAATTGAAATTAGACTAATATATAAATAGCTTTATGGCACTTGCTTTCTATTACTTCATGTATGACCTTTTTCAGAATAGCAATTATTTTCCATTAGTTTAGTTCAATTGGAAAAAACAGTGCTTAATGGACTTTGAATCCAGGGTCACTAGTAATAGAATCAGGCAGTTTTCAGCTTTTTGTAGCTACTGTCAGACACAACCCCATAATTTGCCACACCAGCTTATTTTCTGCTGGACTTTTACTAGTCACCTCATCCACGTTTTCCTTGAACTGTGTGATGAAATTGCAATGCAGAGCTCTTGAAGGGTCCGTGGAAGGGTTTTGTCTCAACAGTAAAGCAGCAGCCCATATTTGACCTCTGGAACTGTAGTCTAGTCCTTCGCTGGAGTTTCCAGGCACTTGAACAACCTCCCATAACCTCCACTTTCCTGAATATTTGATGGCTGCTTTGTGCTCTCCCATGTCAGTTACGGTTCTGACAGATGCAGAAGCTCTTTAATCCACCTGACAGGACCAAATTTAGCAGAGGGGAACGAAGCAGAAGCACCTAACTAAAAATGCAAAGTGACCTGTAGCAATTAAAGCAGGGAAAGCTGCAGGCAATGTAGGAAGGTAGTCCTGTGTTTTTGAATCTCTATGACTAGAGAAAGTAAATAAGACAGGCTGAAGACCATGTGTGGTGTGATGGGTGACTTCAACCTGTGGTACATGTTATGCAAAAGCAAGTTTGTTTTCAACTTTTCTTATTAGTGCTGTCCTTGCATCCCTTTGACAACTCTTTTTGTCAGTAGCATCTTATACCTCTATATTTGAGGCCTCCATTAAAGTCCCAGATAAATGCATTTTTATGAGATTCCTGAGACTCTCACGAGCCTTTAGAGGACACCAAGTGTTAGTTAGAAGCATTATTTTTTCCCAGTAGTTCTGCTTGCTCCTCTGACGGAAGTTTCCTTCCTTGTGGCAAAGGTATCAGAAGCAAATATGGGCTGGTTTCTTCTCTGTATTTCATGCTAAAGTAGAAGGGTGAAAAATCACTTGATGAGCAGACATGTTTGCTTGAATTTGCTTTTTATAGGGAATGGTGTAGCAGGGAAGTGGGACTTAAGACTGGTTGCAGATAACTTCCTCAGCTGTCACAGGAATATTCAGTAAAACCTGTCAGAGGTCTGTTGGGAAAGGACCAATTTGGATGAGAATTCTTTAAGTAATTTTCCAGATACTGTGATATAGCAGGAAAAAAAAATCCTTGAATTTTTAGCCCTCCAAAGTCAATATATGCTCCAGTTGTAGGTACTTTTCAACTCTCTTAATGTTTAAAGGATTTATGCATGATTATTGGTGGATAGGAATAATTAACAGGAAATTCCTTTTGCACAAGGTAACCTACTACACAGAAGAACAAAACTGACTTTATATACCTAAGTTCTGCTCGTATCACTCTAAAACTTGGTGACATACCCCCTTAACGGAGCAGAAGGTTTTACTTTGTTCTTCAAAGAAGTCTGAATAAGGTACTGTTCTCACAGGAGCTGCCTTGAGAAAGGAGTTCACTGCTGCAGATGATGGTATTTTGAAACCTAATTTATCGATTCCTCGTTGTATGGAAAGCTGGTTATTTAGATTGATGGGTAAAAAAAAGCACTTTCCTTCACTCAGGAGCTGGTCGCTCCTCACGCTTGCGTTAAGCTCTTGGCAAGGTCCCGAGGGATAGACCTAACCTAAGGATAGTTAAAGGTTGTATCCGGACCGGCTCAGAAGAGCAGGTTCTTTTCACAAAGTAAGCAGGAGATCTTCCCAGCTTTGTGCTACCTGCCTCTCATTTGCTGTTGCATTTTGCAGCAGTGCCTCATCGAGCAGTAGGCGAGAGAGAACCTCCTGCTCCTGCGTGACGCGCGTGCATTTTAACCTTCAAAATTTCTTTTATCAGGTGATACAGAAAAGCTGACCCGTTTATCAGGCTCCTGCATTTCAGACTTATTTGTCTAAACTGATCTCGGTCTGTGATCTGCACATAGCAGATTAGAAGGCATGTTAAATATTCTTTTCGGATAAGTAACATTGATTGGTGGCATTTTCTCTTTTACCTAGATTTATATCACCGTGCAGTCCTGTCACTTGAGTTCAATAAAAGTCTGTCTTAGATCCCCAATTTAGCCTAACACCACTGTATATAACTGCTGTGAATTAATGCGATTTGTCAGGAGCAATAGGCCACAGTGATAACCAGAACACCCTGCTACATCTTGTTCTGACTGATCTATGAAGCAGCTTCGCCCATTTGTTTTTTTTCCAGAACATAATAAACAGTCTCTGGGCATCTGCTGTCTTGGCAAGTACTGAGCAGCTTCATTAATTTACACCATGGTTTAATATTTTTCCAGTTGACTTTTGGGGTACTGTGAAATGTAAGGAGCTCAGACGTGCTGATGTGTGGCATGACAGTCAAAGCAAAGAGTTGTTTTCCCGTTGCTTGCTTTGGAGGGTAGTGCTCACCTGCCTCCCCTGCAAGGTGCCTGCTTTGCCCTTCGTCTTAATGACAGAGTCATTAAGTGGCACTTACTATACACAAACACAGGGTGCTGGCATGTGAAGAGGGCAGTGTGCCATACTGGGATTTGGCAGGTGTATTCCAGACTCTTCCCTTCAGGGAAAACTGATTGGATTGTTTTCTCCCCACCGGAACTTGTACAGGTTCATACTGAGCACCCACTTTTTGCCCGCTGAGCAGAGCTGCGTACGTTGTGTTAAAGCCCTTTCCCCTTTCCGTGCCTTGGTCGTGGTGCATGGTCAAACTGCGTCGTGTGAATATTCCCAGTGCTGCAGAAATGCCTTCCATAACCGTGAAGCAGCCGCCTGTGCCGTCCCTTGTGTCTGAAAGTTGCTTTATTGCCATTTTTTTACCTGTGCATGAGACTATGCACCTATCACATGAGACCATAATGATGTCTTCTTGCTGAACAAGTGTTGGACACCCTTTGTGACAGGAAGGGACCACAAAGACACTGTAAAACACCGTGAACAACTTAAGAGAAAGGATGAGATGCCTGTGGTGATAGATTCAACTGGAAGGGGCGGTATAGGCAACGTAGATCATTTGACTCCGATTCGCCTCCAGGATAGCTCTGATGCAAGTATCTACCAACGTTTGGTAATCATAGAGATGGACACTTTATTTGCCGTCTTGCCATAGTAATTCTTAATTTGTGCTGAGAGATATTTATCACTGCATTTTATTCCTTGTTGATTGACACATTCTCTGAAGTTCCTGGGGTGACGTTGGGATAAATTGTCACTGCCATACGTGTGAAATGAAAAGTATATGTCTGCACTCCTTTATATTTCATTTCTGAGGTGTATGCTTTCTTCACGCAAAAGAAAGAAAACCTTAAGAACACATGCTTGTCTGTCTTTCGAACTCTCTAGAATTAGCTTGTCATGAAATGTAAAACTAATATGTAGTTGTAAAAACCATCGCCAGCATTTTTCTCACTGCAGGCTGATGTCTAAGTAGATTTAGAAATGAAAGGGGTTATTATAAAGTGATTACTGAATAGCTAGGTATGTCATTTTAAACAAGCAGCTAAAATCTGTTGCAGATTCAGGATGTAATCTTGTTTGTATCATTCGTAGTTAAAATCTGATTTTGATTGTGGAGGAGTAATCATGTAATGTAGATAATTTGACAAAAATATATCAAATGATGTTTTTCATTCCTTATTTAAATATATTAGAATTTAAATGACTCACCATCTAAAGTATACCTATATAATGACAATAACATAAAGAAATATTAGAATCATTTTGCTTTGGCTGAGTTTTAAATTTTTCTATAGAGTGAAAAGTTCACATCAGCTCTCTCAAGAAAGAAAACCCTGTATAGAAACTATCACATAAAAAATACTACTGACTTTAGAAGGATATTATTGATGATTCTACCAATATTTTGCAACTGTGAATTTCAGCCTGGAAGACATATGCCTTGCGGGATATGTATAGCTCTGACTTAGGGAAGAGATGAAAAAGTTAAGGAAACTGCAGGATTCTGTCACTCATTTATGTGCTTATGCTAAGATATTCCTAAAAGCCTAATTCCAGTGCCTCATCTGGTTTCAAACACCACCTCTACTCAGTTATTTTCAAGTGGTGAGCTGATTGCTCTTGTATGCTGGTTAGTGGGTCTTCTAGTCAATCATGACTGACTAAATGTCTTGGTTCTCTCGCAAGAATGGTCCATCCTGGAAAAAGCAGATCTCACTATTGAATTTGAGAAAAGGTGAGAGGATTGAGGTCAGCTCGTTTTAAGCACTGCGTCTGCTCATTTTACTACTGTGAGCTATGTATATGTGCAGTACATGTGAGTATGGATTTTATCATTTTCTGAGCTCCCAGGTTTGGGGACCAACCAGTTCTGGCCACAAATCAAAGGCAAATCTGTTGGCTATTACATATTAATGGCTTAGAAATAAGAAATGAGAATTGGGGTTCCACCAGTTTTGCTGATGCTCTGTAACCTTTGGCAGATAATTCAGTCATTTTGAACTTTGGTTCCTTTGTATGTAAACCAGGAGAAATACTGTTATACCTCATACAGATGCAGAGTTTAATTATCCAGTACTTGTGAAGTATATGATAAAATGAAACCACTGGAAGCCTTCGAGAAGGCTTGTGCCAGTATCAGTCCCTACAATGTTCTTGGCAACAGGATAGCGTGAGAGATGCTGTCTCGCGGTTCTGTTTTCTGCGGCAGAGCTCTGGCATTTCTGTCAGGAAAGCTCTGTATGAAATCACACGGTTCCCGGATGACAGGAAGTGGTTTGGTCGAGAACCAAAAAATTATTTGTGAGGGGGTTGATCCGAAACCTGTTGTTTTCATAGTTATTTCTTGGGCTCTTGATGTTTTCTACATTGTGACACTGCGGATGCTTATCATGTTAGTAGAGGTGTTGGTGGAAATTTATGCAGCAGGCTTGCTCCTGCCTCTCAGTTTTTGTGAAGTCTGGAATAACTTGGAGGGGTGCAGAAGGCATCCCCACAGGCTACTGCTCAGGGCTCGTGTCATCCAGCTACCTTCAGGCTACGCACATCCATCTGTTCGTCTGTCTTGGCTGGCATTTTGACTGCCGAAGACATATACCATAGAATATAATTAAAACGAACCCTTTTTTTTCCAGAAGTCTCTCAAAGCAAAACAGACATATTTCAGTTTTCAGCTCCAGGTTACATATACGTGGTTATTCCCTTCTTCTCCAGAGAGCAGGTAACTATCATTCCCATTTTGCTGCCTCCTAGTTCTTTCTTGCGTTGCCTCGGAAGAATGTACATGCTCATACTTTTAACGTGTCAGGAGTACTTCCACGAGACTGGTGGAAGTGCTGCTTTGTGTTGGAGGCATGGCTTTTTGTGGAGGACAGGCACATTCATTTGGAAATGCTATATAGCATCTCTCAATTGAAAGATGGTAAGAGTTTAAAATACTCCGACTTGAAATCTTTCCAGAAGATACTGAGGATCTTCTGCAGTTATTTACTTTTACATGAATTATTAATTATTAGTTATTAGTTATTATTGCTGTTAATTTCCGTGGCTGAAAGAAAGCAGAGGTATGCCAGGTAAAACTGGTTTCTCTCTCTGTTTTTTTTTTTTTTTTTCAAATTTATAGCTTCTGTGTTTTTGGATAAGTAAAATGACTGACTTGTAATGCACTCCTCTCTACTCCAGGGGTTGTTTTCTGGATTGTCAACAGCTTTGTGCACACTAATAGCTTAGTCTTTGATTTGATTTTAAAAGGTTTTGGCTCAGCAGGACAATGACATCAGCAAAATCAAACTAGGGTGTTGATTTTGCTTATTTTTTTAGTCATTTGTCCCTATCTTTCTATGATTACCTCAGTGTTTCCTTTCTCTTATAACCAAAATAATGGCCAGTGTGAACAACAGTGAGGGGAATGTACCCATTTTCTCTCCCTATTCATTGCTGCAAATCAACAAGATTGACTGTTTCTTTAGATTCATAAGGCAGATGTGTAAAACCATTGTATTTCAAACAACCTGCATGAAAACCTGGTAGTCTGTTACGTTACCATGCAAAAATTTGCCTATTTTTTCTTTTCTCACTGAACTCTGATTTTGGGTAAACTGAAAGGTGAAAAACCCTGATCTGTTACCAGCTGGTGATGGTGAATCATGTGTTTTTTTGAGCAAAGAAAAGCTCTTTTTGAGCTTCAGTCTGTTGTTGAACTCGCACAAAGAATAATTACAGTATAAAAATCAGTCCCATCACAGTTAATATGATCTTGCACAAAACGGTTAGACCAGATGTGCAAACAGCAGATTCTTTTTAGACATGTATAAATTGTATAGAGTCAAATAAGAGGAGTTGAACAGGTAAAATACTTTACCTTTTTTTTTTTGATGATGATGATGATGATTTTCACTGTACACGTAAAGATCCCGAGGTTTGGTTTTTAAAAACAAGGCAAAACAGATTTGCTGGCTCAGAAGGCATATAGTCTGTTCGCATGTAAGTGAAATAATATTTCACTCACGATTGCTGCCACTGAGGCACAAGGTAACAGCTCAGGTGATGAAGAGCCACAGAATATCAGCTTATCTGGAGACCTGCAGAATAAAACCTCTGTAGGTGGAGTTTTACCAAGTAAGGAGAAATATGGTTGAAATATGATGTGCATAAATATACGTAAAGTGAAAAATATGATCTCTGTTGTTAGAAACTGTTAAATGTTTAATAGTTTAGCTCCTCTGCAGGGAGGAGTGAACTTTGTGTGTCTCCTCCTCGGCTGCCCTGTTTTGACTTTTCGCTGGAAGGTATTTCCCATCCGGGAGGTGGGAAATCAGGTGCAGCCCAGATGCAGCATGCAGATCCAAGCCTGAAGCCTCTTTGGGATGTGGCTGTAGTACGTGAGTTCCTTGGAGATATTCCTGAAATGATATGTAATGCCCTCTGATACTGAAACCAGAATATTCAGGCTAACAAATACTCCATCATTTCACTCAGGGGATTTGATGTGAAGAGACATTGCGTGATTGATACAAGGCTGCTTAGAAAAAAACACAACAAAACCAGGACATCTGCAGTGTTGTTACTTATCATTAATTAAATTTCGTGTTTTATGTATAAAATAATATGGTTTTAGATAAGATATCTTAAATTTCAGATGATTCTGTTCTCATCTTAAATTGTTATATTTTCTTATTCCGACACCATCCTTTCCTTTCTGTGGAAGGATAACAGAGTCCAGTTTAGAATTTCAATCATATGAGTTACTACAGGGCTAATCCATATTCATATTTTACCTAAAGAAAAAGGAAGTTCTTGATTCCTATGGCTCAAATGTCTTGTAAGTGTTAGCTGACACCTACCAGATCTGCTGCTACTGAAATGTCATCGAGTGGCAGAAAATTACTGTGCCCTTCCTTTCTCAGGCTCTTATTTCTGTAGGTCTGTGCAGTCAGTGGCAAAGAGAAAAGACAAAACTTCCAGTGTGAGCTTTCATTCTCAGCCCAAGTTTTGATGACAAGATGGTAAAATTGCACCTAAAAATTGCTCTGTGATTGTGAAATGGGTTTTCTGAAGAAGTGTGGTGATGTGGTAAGAGGTAGAGCACAAAGGTGCAGGGGAACGAGCTGCAGATTGAAGCTGCGGCTGGAGTTGCTCCTACCTGTCAGGCCCTGCTCCATGTTCGCGGCAAAACAGGGCTGAACAGAGAGGAGCGAGATCCCAGATGAAGCGGGATGCGAGCGGCTGTCGCGG